AAGAACAGTGGTAAAAGGAATCCTGAGTTGTAAAGACCTTTCTGGGTTGTTGTTTTAGTCACAACATCATTGCCACCATGACGGGCTTTTACCTGCTGCTGACTTGAGCTACTATTCTTTCTCTTACCAAACTCATTCTGGGGATTAAGTAAGCTAGCAAGCTGTCTTAGGAGGGATGTCTACATTTATAAATATGCTACTCTATTTCTAAGATAGATTACTATATGCTGTAAGATCTCTTCTTCTACCTTCTAGACACATACCTAGTCACCATTCCTGTTCCTTCATCATCAGGTGTAGCTATTTAATTGAGCTTTGGCCAATAAAATCTGGAAGGGAGAGGAGCTTGAAGCCATTTCTTGTGTATACCACAGGTCTTCCTCCTATGGTTTTTATTCACTCTCCCCCCTTCTTCTGTGGGAAGAGATATGAGTCAGAAGACTTAAAAGCCAGTTACAATGTGGAAATCATTTGAGCCAGGATTGGCCATGTGGAGGTCATCTGGACAGGGACACGGTTACAAAAGAGTGAAATAAGCTTGCCTTATTTAAACCACTAAGATTCTTTCATCTATTTGTGACAGCAGTTAGAATTACAATAATGAATATCTCAATATTTAATGAATGCTTACTATGTGATAGGCACACACACACACACACACACACACACACACACACACACACACACACCCCTCTTCAGTTCTCACAAAGCCTCATGATAGAAATACTGTTAGAGTCACAGAGAACTTAATGACTTGTGCAAATGCACACCGCTGTGCTAAACCGACCCTGGGTTTTAACCATTTCCCTTCACTACCTCTCTCAGTACAGTATACACTTCTAGGTGTACTGCCTGCCAAAATTATTTCTTAGTTTATGTTAGCTACCCTTATACAGCTGAAACATAAACCACAATGGAAGACAAGCAAGTGAAAACAAAGAAATATATTTCTAAAATTCTAACTAAAACTTACAAAAGCAAAGATTTTGTAAGTTACTAAGATCTGTAATATGGAAGTAAAAGATGATGAAAATTTAAAAGTTAGGGTTAAGTTGGTAATCCAAAACATTTCATTTCTATAGCTTAATAACAACAATGGGATTTCAAATAAAGAATGTCTGTGATGTCAGGAAATAATTGGCAAAGCTGTTATTTCTCACTAAGATTTATGGAATTATACAATCACCATGCATCCAATCATGGAAGACATTTTAATGACATGAAGAAAATGCTTATGACACAATGAGACTCAATTACATAACTACGCCCAAAATGGGATGAATGCAAATCAACCATTCAAAAAGTGTCCGCTGGCTACCAATTACATGCTAAGTTTAAGCCTAGGATCTGGCCATATGGTCCCTGCCTCCAAAAGTATATGGTCTGGCTTTCTCAAAAGTGTATGCTTTCTCAAAAGACCGGCGGAATTGCTTTCCCAGGGCTTGGTTTCTTTATCTAAATAATAAGGAAGTTAGAAAAGACCATAGCTAAGGTCTCTAAGGTAATTATGTTCTGCATGTGAAATAGGATCTTTTATTCAAGTAGAGAATAAGATACCATTTGATTTATCTACAAGCTTTTGACTCAACTAACCCGGTAAGCATCACCATAAACCTATTAATGTTAGTTTTACTTTTAAATGCTTACTATCTTCATTTAACCAAAACTAAGGGGTTTCTTGAGAGATAAGATCCTTAGATCTAATACGGAGAGAGTTCTGAGAAAATTGAGATGTTCAGACTCCTTACTTTCATGTAAAATAATTAACTTACATGCTAAAACTAATTTTAATTATACAAACTTCAATTAGTAACTTTTTGTATTAGAATGAATTCATAGGCAGTTAAAAAAACAAAAGAACAAGGATTATGCATATGTAAAAACTCATTCAGTTGTCCAAAATTTTTAGACAAGCATCACATCTGGCATGAAGGCTAATGATGATCACAAGAATGACATACTTTGAAGTTTCACATGCATTATTTTAAAACTAGATTATTTGTCTAGAGATTGGAAGGAATAGCATCCTGTTAATATTTCAGTGAGGGAGGGAGGGAAGGAGGGAAGGAGGGAGAGATTTTTTTTCAAGGTCTAAAAATTGTGGTTTTTAAAAGGCATATTCCTATTTTGTTCTCAAAATGCAGTGTTCTTTGAAAGAATATTCAAATCTGGTCGCCCTCTACAGTGCCATCTCTCTTTTCTCTGCACTTACCACATACATCGACATAATTAGGCTAACACCAAACATATTGCCCTTTCAAAGTCAAGTAAAGAAAACTCAAGGGGGACTAAAGGGAACCCTGGGGAGGTTGATAAGCGTCTCAGCATAGCCAGCTCCAATGCAGGAACAACTCCTTCCATTAACATGAAGACCCAATTTTCATGGGAATGTACATCCCTATCTCTGTGATTCCATTCCACTCCAAAGACACCAGTCTTCATCAATGCCCTCCTAGCAGGAATGCCAAGATCAAATCCTTTTTGACCAACAAATAAATTCTGTCCTCAAGAACAAGACAGATTCACTGAAGATTCATTTAGAGATGTAGTGGAGGATTTAAGTGAGAAGCAAATTTAATTATGTTCTTGGTTTCCTGGTCTACTTCACTCACCACTATGACCAAAGGCTTCTGAGTGGCAGTGCGTGCAATATTTGCCATCCTTTGCAAAGTTACCAAATGACAGTTTGTAAAATGGGGAACAATGAACAATTTAAAGAACCCATCAGATATCCAATAACTGGGTCACATTTCCAACTTTCATGATCACCATGCCTCATCTGTCTTCTGCTGGCCCTCAATAATTTTTCCCACCACACAGCAGTGACCATCTCCCAGTCACAAGCTCCTTCTGCCACTGCTGACACGTGTCCTTCCTAATGTTCCCCTGACTGAAGCCAAATCAATGCCAGGATCAAGTAGAAGTAGGCTAGGCTTCCCTTCTTAAGCTTGCCTTGGGAAAGAGGGAAATTAGTTTAAATAAACAATATGCTGATTTAAAAAGAAATGAATTGAATCACAGGGAGTCAGGGACCATTTCTCTTGCTGGCTTTGCCAGTGCCTTTGAGGAGAAAGTTGTAAAATCACAATACCCCCTGTCTGACCTGATGTGTTGTTTTAATCTGCAAAACCTGGCTACATAACACCTAATGGTTATGTCCGTCCATGTTTACTATCCACCATGTAGTGCTCCAAGCATTTTATCTGCTTACTTTCACTTAACCAGCACAGTCCCTTGGGATGGCTACTGTGATTAATCCCACTTTAGAGCCAAGGAAACTAACGCTTAAAGAGGTAAAGTGACTTTCCCACAGGGACATGGATCTTAATTGCACTTCTGGGCTTTAAAACAGTGTTGGCTTGGTTTCAAAAATCATACCTTGGTGCCTGGTTCATACCACTGTCTTCATGAAGTCTTTTCTAAAACTTGGATGCTGCTAGAGAACTTTGGAGTCACCCCTCACCACCAGCCATTAGATTAGCTGTATTTCCCCAAGACCACCTCTGGAGAACGCCTCATCACAGGGTATAGCACCATCTCTCTCCCACTCCCAAGAAAACACAGACTTTCCAAGTTGTCTTGAAAGGCCACATCTAGGTCTCCATTTCTACCATAACCATCTGCTTTTAAGTCCTGTCTTACATGCAGTCTACACAAAAAGTGAAGAGACAAAAACAGATAATATAGTCTAGACCCAACGTGCTTTTTTCTCTCTCTCTCTGTCTAGCTATCTCTACTGTTCATTTGTTATCTATTCTGCAACCTAGCATTGCCTTTCCCTAGAGCTTACTAAGGTATACTCTGACCCACCAGTGGCTGCAAAATAGTTAATAGTTTCAGGAGAACATGAAGTATAAGTAAACACTTCTCAGATAGCTATGCAAGACACCGGGGGAGAGACGAGGCTATAGGGATCAAAAATGTAAGATTATTGCTATTGAATCTCTCCCCTAGCATTAACGACTTCGAAAGTAAATTTCGTGATAATGTGCTCTTCCAACTTCCCCAGAATTTCTTGGCTTGAATATCCTGAGGAAATACAATCACGCTCTCTTTCTCAAAGTTGTTCAACATTGACAACTAATGATGCTCTCTGGTTTAAAGCTGATTCTTTCAATAACGTGTATCAAGGGTTTCTCCTGAACCCCGCTTTGGGCTGCCACTTTGAAGTTGAGACTCGGATTCAGGTGCAGTCTCCAAATCCCCCCCCCGTCCCCCCCCGCCCCCCCCCACCTCTGCCTCCCATCCTTGCTCTCAGATACACACCCTCACCCTGCAAACAGTCAGCATTTTCAATCCTCTGCTAATAGGAACACAACTTTTATAGCTAACCAAAAAGAAATCTGTAGTTTCAAAGTTTCATAATCTTTTCCAGAAAGCCTCCAGAATTTGACAGTGGCTTTGCCTTTCAGTTAAGGGTCCCAGTACTACCCCTATGGCAAGGGCTTGAACCAGTCCCAACGGAGGGCTTGTAAGTACCACGTATCACCACCTATCTCCAAAGGAAGGGTCAGATCTCACACTGAAATACTCATAGTGAATTTTGTCTGCTTATCGCCTGAACTCAAGTTCTACCTTGGTCAGAGATGCAGTCCGATTGTGTCTATGGCTTTCTTACAAGGGCTTTTTCCCCCTTCCTTGCCTCCCTCACCCAGTTGCAGCCTTTGGTCCCCATTTAAAAAAAAAAAAAAGAAGAAGAAGAAGAAAGAAAGAAAGAAAAGGAACAGCTAGCTGCTCCCTGCAGCGACAGAAGAGGCGCAGCGGTCTGGCAGGCCCGAGGTTGCGGGGCTGAGGTGCCCCTTTGTTGAGCGGGCTACAGATGGTGTCCCGGCGCGGGGCTGCGCCTAGGCGGGCGGGCGGGAGGGGGGTAGGTGGAGGCTGGGGGGGGGGGGGGGGGGGGTCGGGAGGGGTGGAGACTGGGAAGGGGGTCGGGCGGGAGGGGAGGAGACGGCTGAGCAGCCAATCAGCGCGCAGCCCATCAGCTGACCGCTTTTGCTTACACCAGGTGCACGCCGGCTGCAGGGAGCACAAAGCGGGGCGCACGGAGGGCGCAGGCAGGGAGCCGCGGAACCAGGCGAGGCCCGTGCGCCCCGGTTTGCAGCGCTTGCCGGGCAGGGACCGGGGCCCACGGCGTCCTCCCAGGCAGCGGCATCCGTGCCACTGCATCCCGAGGCGCCTAGAACGCCTTCCCTGAGACCTGATCTTTCGCCGCCCCGCCCTCTGAACCCCGTTTCTTCTACTCTCCTTCCCAATTCTGCCTGTCTCTACTCCGACCCCCAAGAACCGGATTTAGCTCAGCCCCGCGCAGCAGCTGTTGCTCCTGCGGCTGTCTCGCCTTGCGTCTTGGTGCTCTGCCGGGGGTCCCCCGAGGAGCCAGTGCGCGCTGCAAGCAGGGAGGAGGCGCTGCTCCTCCGGTCCTCATCCTCAGGCTGCTGCTACTGCTGCTGCTGCTACTGCTGCCACCGCCGCCGGCTCCGTGCGCACCCCGACACCCCCACCAGCCGGGCCTTAGGGTAAGTGCCGGACCAACTGGGCCGCAGCAGGAGGTTTGGGAGGCAGCGAGGGGGGAGTGGAAGCAAACTTGGCACTTTGGAAGACCCTACAGTGTTTAAGAAACCTCGGGATAAGATCGCGGGTCTAAGGGGGACAAGGGGGCGCGGTTTCTGGAGCTGGGGTTGGGGGGGGGGCGAAGTCGGGAAAGGAGAATCTAGTTACCATCCTCTTGCTTTAAAAAATGAAACGGAGAGTTGAGACGGCAGGCCAGACGAAAATGGGCAAAAGGCAATGACTGGAGCTGAGCCCCCAGGATTTCAGGGATCCGTCAGGGGATGGTGTCCTGGGTGGGAAAGAGAAGGGAAGGCTTGGGGATGTGAACAGGGAAAGAAGCTGGGGTCTGGGAAGAGCGCAGACAGAAGACCCAGGGAGTTGGAATGGGGTCAAGAGGAGAGAAAGGAAGGTGGCAGGTTGTGGGGAGAGGAAGAGGTCTTGGCAATGGCCTCAGTGTTAAGAATAAAGAGCAAGGAGCATAATTAACAAAACATCGAAAGGACTGAAGTTAGAGCATTGGGGAAAATATACTCAAGAATTATGTGGTACAAGAAGGAGAAAGAAAACTGTACCTTTTGAAAGTAGAAGCGGTAGCCCCTTAAGGAGACTTGTCATGGATGTGGAGATTTCAAGGAAGCCTTGGTCTCTTCCAGGCATTTTGCTCCAGGATCAGTAGCTAGGAAAGTTTGCCAGCGAGTGTCCTTTGTGCTGCATGGAGAGGGGGTGTGGGCTGCTGCCGACTGGTTCGGTGCTTCCTCGGTTCCCGAAGTCACCGCTACCTGAGGGGGAAGTCCTTGGCTGGTTGGGTTTCCCCAGAAAAGCCAGGCAGCCCCGAGGCACCTCGCGCACTGGGCAGGTTGGAAAGTTCGTCCTGGGACTGTGGCCCAAAAGCAGGCATGGATGCGCAGGCTGGAAGATTCCGTAGTAGAACTTGCTCCAGAGGGACCTCGCCTGCGGTATCCACAGCAATAGCTTCAAAGCCAAGTGCAGAGAGTGAGCAAAGTGTCATAGCCTTTGAGCGACTGAACCATGTAGGCAAAGCTCCTAAATCCCACCCTGTCGTTAATACATTCATTCCCAGACCCAGATAATAAAAACAAATACGGAATTCAGATTCGCTGAGGGAACACGTACTGCTGACTTGGACTTTTTTTCTGTAGGATTTTTCTGAGACAGTATGTTATCTTGTTTTCCAGTTCGATTTACCACGACCATCTAGACGATTAATATTATTGCTATATTGCCATGACTTCGTTTTTAAAACCTGGAACTTGAGAAGTGGAAACTTATACTCTGACCTGTATAAAGCTGGAGTCGAAGTGGTGTTACTGGCTCCAGGGCCATGTGTGTCATGAAGTCTCTAATTTGCATGCAAATGTGAGCGGATCCTGGCAGATGTCTGGCCTCATCCATTCACATGAAGGAATTGGAAAAGACAAGGAGTCTTCAGTTAACAATAGACCTTAAGAACGTGGAATAAAGGCCCAGTGTGGGTTTCTCTGTTTGGGGATTCCATGGCTTGCTGACACATTTATTCAAGAGCCAAATTCTTAGTGTGGTATTATATGGAAAGCTCAAATCCACTTGCTCTTACCTGGATGTATCTGTGCATGCTGCACAGAGGGAATATTCCTATGCAGGCAGTAACTTTAATCCACTTCTGGTGGCTTGAAATGATTTCTTCACTGACTCCTCAACTTTTAGAGTTCTTTTCTTTTTCTTTGAGTAATTTTTTTTTTATTTTATTTTGGCCAACATTTGCTCCCTGCCCTGAGAGAAGTAATATAGGAAAAGGTGTTTGTCACTGACCAACTGGAAGGTCTCAGTAGAGTGGTCACTGTCCATTTAACCTCATTTGAGTTCCTTAGGTGACAAAGTTAAAAGGCTGCAGTTGATGAGAGCATCCCATTCCAGCAAAGGGAGTGGACGTGTGTGTGTGTGTGTGTGTGTGTGTGTGTGTGTGTGTGTGTGTGTGTGTGTCCCAGTACTGAACAGTGAACAGGGGAAGTAATTCAATGGACTCCCAAAGCAAGGACTTTTCTGTCTTGTATTATATTAACTGGTCAGTCATGCTATTCACCTCCTGACTTTGTAAGACTGATAGAACAAAAGCTGGGCCACATGGGCCACATGTGAGGCTTGCAGCGATAACCCCTGACAAGCCAGCCCCAGAAACTCTTCTTTTGTCAGCCCCCAACACTGTTGGAGGGGGAAAGAAACCTATTCACCCAACAGGGTTTGATGACCCTGTTTTCTATATACTTGCTAAAAGAGACATTAAAATACAACAGAAAGACAATATTGCTTTGAGGGGCTTGACTGGAGAGAGGGGTGGACAACAGATGTTAGCATGTTGTTTCACGTGTTTTCTGAAGTTGTTGTTATTATGATTATCATATTCTGGTCCAATGCCCTTTATATATAAAGCAGTCTACTCCAGTTAGGAAAAAAATGAATCAAGTCCAATCTGATTGCGAAGTGTTAATAGCCAAGTTTGCATTTTCTGTCTTAAAGCTATGCAGAAGTCAGAAAGCAACATTGGTGTACTGAGCTCTTCTGTTACTCTCAAACCTGGCTTTCTGTCTCCCTGATGGAATTGAGGGATGATTATATAATAAAAATGGCATTTCCAAACTAAACCCACCTACCCCTTTGATATAAAATTATTAGAGGGTAGTTTTGAAATCAAGGTAAGATGCCACAGCATCACATCTATGAACTGTCAACTGTTAGCCTCCCTAAGGGAGGTCTTTATTAGACAGGTTTAATACAGGAAGGACTGAGTTTGCATTCTGGCAAATAAAAGTAATAAGGTACTTAATTATTAGAAAAGATTGCTCTGTTAAATAAAATAAACTCAGACCAGATCCAACTACAGATGTTAGTTCTGACAAAGTAGGCATAGGTAGCTTCTGTTAGATTCTGGAACTGTGAGATAACAAGTAGGATAAACATGAGAAAGAAAGCTAAACCTTGACCTCTGCGTAGAGTCTTACATTGCTGGGCTCTTGACCTGAACTTCTCCGTCTATTACAAATAATCTCTTTCAGCAACATATCCAGAGAGCGTAAGTACTTAAAAATCAACTTCTAAGAAATAAATCTACTATTACAGTTAATAGTTTGATTCCCCGCACCTGGCTGACTATAAATAATCATCAATTATCTTGTTGTAGGCTTTTATGCCACCTTAAATAAGCCATAGACTATATATAAAATATGATACATTGCAGGCATAGGTGCTACTTTCACAGTGCTTTCTTATATTTATTTTTTCAGCTGCAAATAGTTATTCTGTGATTCATTTCAGCACTAATATAAGGCTGCTCAAATATTGTATTGAATTTTTTTAAGTTATTATGCTGAACATCTATTTTGAGTTAAGCCAATCTGAAGATAAAGCAGCTTCCATTTTAAAACCATATTTTGGTTTCTGAGAACAATGGAAATATCTTTAACTCATGAATAGAGCTTTGATTAATATTTTATTCAGAATGAAATTAAAATTAAGATGATGAAGTCAGAAAAACATGTAGTCTTTCTTGTTTGGGATCAAAGAACAGAATACAAACCAAGGCTAAACCCAGTAAAATGCAGTATTTTAGAGACCACAAGAGAGCCATTGGATCTTAGAGTTTTAAATGGAGTTCACTTTAAAACTCATTTTCTCTCTCTTTTAACATATCAACATTCTGGGTATATTTCAGAGTTTAGTTTCTATGTCTCAAAGAACAGATATAATAAATGGTTTATTGACCTTGTATTATTTTACCAGTTATTTAGTTGATAAGTATACTATTACCAGCTATACCCAAGTGGTCTGGTATGTCTTCCTTAACCTGCTAACTTTGAGATTCCTCAGTTGTAACATAGCATGGCTGGGCCAATAGGGCTGGAAGGACTAACTATCATAATTGATTGGATTGTCAAAAAGGATTGAAAAAGCTTTGCCTCCAGGACCACAACTACCATAAACATTTAACTTGGATGGAATCATCATATCTACTGACCTGAAAAATTGCCCCTAAGAAGCAGAGAAAATAGATGTAGGTTTGCAATACACATCAAAGGTGCTGTTCATCCTAATTTCAGAGCACCTGCTAAAAAGACCAGTGCATTAGGTTAAGACACTTAGTTTTGAAAGCTGTGGAGAAGAGCCTGCTTTTATAGTGGCTTCTTACCTTCCATTTACACTCTTTATAGCTCAGATGTTGTGATGTTATTTGAAAGCTTTGATTACTGTAAATGAGTTGTAATCTTCTGACCCAGGCTGTCTTAGCTCGCATCTATTATACTATGGGCAGACATGGACTCCACAGCTGTCACCTCATTTGTATATGAAACAGACACATTGGTGGCATTTTTGGGGGGTTACCATAGTTACATTAACAATGTACATGTGACATGATGTGTTTCCACGTGAAAGGTTTTTGTGGTAGGTATTTTGTAGACCTGGGACTAAAGTACAACTATTTAAAGTTCAAGGAACACATAAATTAGCCTGCCATTGTTCTCTGGAGACACAGGAGGGTAGCCTCTCCATAGCCATGTCCAGGAAAGGGCAATCAAGAACCTTTCCCTAATAGAGATTTCCAAGAGCGGCATTGCTGAACCTCTGCAAGGAGATACTGTGGAATATTCATTTCAAAATATTTGGTTTTCCTATTTAGTGCTGCCTTTTGTGAGCTAGCATATTAACATAGTCATTGTCAATTCAAAAGGGGAAACCTGGACAGCCCTAGTATCATTGCCTATCTCAGTAAAATCTGGGAAAGAACCACAAATCCATGTGTCTTTACTGACAATAAGCACAACCTGAGGGTCTCCATTTTTGCAAAGAAAGAAAGGTGGCTTAATTGGTTTCATGTCTGTAGTTTTCCCCTCTAGGAATAAAGAATACCATTAACCCGCATTGTTATTTCACAATAGTAGTGAGTCTTCATTTGTATCTATGATAATCAGCATAATCAAGTACAGTTCACAATAAGGAAAGGACAGAGCAGCACCCAGCTCTAATAATAATGCCTGAATGTGTGACCTTCTGGGTGTCCTGCAACCATCCTGATGCTTTATATCCCTGTCAGAGTGCTGCTGTAAGGATCCAGGAAAGCTGCTACATGCTTCTAGGATTATTCCTGCAAAGAACTAGATTTCTGCTCCGATGCAGTGGTTTTTCTGGATAGCTAACGGCTAAGGGAACAACTTCAACTTTCCTAAAAGGGGATTTTTCTAGTCTCTAATCCTACAGCTAAGATGGTTTATGTTATTGTTTTCCTTTTAAAAAGAATTCCTGGGGCTGAAAAGATGTTCCAGAGGTTAAGATCACTGGTTGCCCATTCAGAAAACCAGGCTTAAGTCCTCAGAACCCACACAATGGCTTACAACCACCTGTAACTCCAGTTCCGGGGATCTGATACTGTCTTTTGATCTCCATGGGCATCAGGCACACAGACAGTGCACATATATACATGCAGGTAAAACACTCATAAACATAAAATAAAGCAAACACATAAAACAACCCCCCAGTATTGACAGCTTCACACTCCCTGGCCTGGTAGGCTCTTCTAGGGGAGAGAATTTGTAGAGAGAAACAGGAAGTTGGTTATGGTCTCTAAACATCAGTTCACCTGATAAGTACATTCTGAACATTAGCTACATGCAAGATGTCACATAAGGCCCTGAACTCAAATCAAGTTAGCTTGATTTTTCTGCAGTTCATATTCCAAATCCAGTGCAAGCATTCTCTGTCCATCAGTCCTTGTATTCTTCTACATTCTTCAGTGCCCAGAATGAAAAAACTACTTTAAGCAGAAGATTTCCAGTTGGAGCAACACCCCCCCCCAAAAAAAAAAACACACACATAGGGTATTCAGAAAATTGATAAAAATCTATTTTAAAGACAATTGAAAACATATAGTGTGTAGAAGGCAAGAGTAGTAGTAACGACCCAAAATACTTAATATGGTCTTCTTCAACCAAGAATTACCTGATTCTATATCATTAGGACCAGGAACAATTTTCAAGACTCAGCTTTGCATCTAAGATATAGATCTCAGAGACCAAACTCCACCCAGAAATTTTAAGAACTGCTTCAACTTGTGGATGATACCTGAAGAAATGGTCAGAGCCTTGGCAGCAGGCACCTTTATCTGCTGGGCCATCTTACTGGTCCCAGTAATGCAGCTTCCTGGATTTGATTGTTTCTTTTTTTGGGCAGAGGTAGTTCAGCTTTCTTACCAGAAAATGACAACCAAGCTATGTGTGCATGCACACAGTGTGTGTACATACATGTACATATGAACACACATGAGGTGATAGATTCCATACTAAAAAACTTAAGCCTGTTTATTTCTTGTTAATAAGACTGGCATGTCAAAGTGAGTTTTGAAGAGAACTTTCTCTCAAGGGTATAAAGGTGTATTGACCCTTTGCTTCTCTTGGATAGTGTAATATTTTCTTGGGAGAAGAGAGAGAAGCTGTGTGGCCACTCAAAGCTTCATGCACTCTCAGTGATTCATATGATCCTAAGTAAGAGTTACATAGGATTTCTGCCACATCCTGAGCATTCCAAGGCAGTAAGGGAATCTACATTAATTCATCAGACATGAGTTATGGAATCTGCATTCTCATTAACTCACCCGACTATCACAGAACAGCCAAGGACAATGAAATAGCCATTGCTGGATTTCTGTGGCTTGTTATTGCTGATTAGGCTTCTGGGCACTGAGAATGACATGTGAGACTCAATCCCCCAGAGAAGCAGTTAACTTTGCTTTGCTCTGTGGGGACAGAGCTAACCTCTACATGTACTCACAAACTCATCATTTCTCACCCAGGAGGCTAGCTAAGACTGCAGAGATATTTGCAGGAAAGCACAAAATTTATGCACAGATCTTGGATGTGGAGTATTTTTCTTTTCATGTATGAAGGATAGCACTGTCAAAATGGACCCCTAGTGAAGAAGTTTCCAAATGGCTTCACTATCGCAACTGAGCAATGGAATGAAAGATTGGGTCTATGCAAATGAGATGCTTAGTAATTGGAAGGAAAATATTACATAGGGCTTCTAAATTATATCCCCAGAGTCAATCATTTTCCCTGACACACCAGAGTAGTAGGAGAATAATAATAATCTCCAATATTAGTCCTTAGCTTCTGCAGTATACCAGGAGAAACCATGAACACTTTATATACATTAATTTATGTACTTGTCACATAGATTGTTTTACAACTGTCACAGAGATTCCCACTTTACAGATCTTTTGGAAACCAAGGCAGAAAGTGCTAAGTAACCTGCCTGAAGCCATACAGCTAGTGGTCTTAATACGTATTTGTTGGACAAGTGGATGAATGAATGAATGAGTGAGTGAGTGACTTGGGTTTTTGAAGAGAATTCTTTTATTCCAGATGTAACATTTCTGCTTTCTAGCCAAGGCATCTGAAGACCCTCCTCTATGACTCACAGAGCTGGTGAGAGGCAGAGTCAAGATGTGAACTTAGGTCCATCTCACTCTCAATCTGCACTGCTGAAGCACTTACCTGTGTCTCTCCCTCTTTAATTGAGGCTCTAGAACAAAAGAACTGGATTAGATGAATTCCAGTAGCCTACCCATATCCTACAAAATTCTGTAATTCCACGTGAAGTAATACTTAAATAAAATAAAACATTTTATTGCTTTTAAATTTCAAATCTAATTTCATATTTTACTTACCTAATAACTATTAAACTGTCCTTTAAAATTACACTGGGATTTCTAACCACATATTTTTAAAGTTTATTTAAAATAACTTTGTATGGATGAAAATGTATTTTTTGAAGATTATGTTCTTCTGATCATTATCATCATGCTGTATATTGTTATTTTATAATTGACTCAATTTTGGTTTCTAAAGATTGTCAACTTAAGAGTTAGCGAGATGGTTAAGTACATTAAGTGCTTTCTGTTTGGACATGAGAACCTGAATTTGGATCCTAAGCACCCATATAATAAGGCAGGCGTGATGTTGGCATGTACCTGGAATCCCAGAGCTGGCAAGGTGAGACAGGGGCTTGTTGGCCAACCACTGTAGCTCAATCAATGAGCGTCAGGTTCAGTGAAAGACAAGAAAGAAAGAAAGAAAGAAAGAAAGAAAGAAAGAAAGAAAGAAAGAAAGAAAGGAAGGAGGGAGGGAGGGAGGGAGGGAGGGAGGGAGGGAGGGAGGGAGGGAGGGAGGGAGGAAGGAAGGAAGGAAGGAAGGAAGGAAGGAAGGAAGGAAGGAAGGAAGAAGAGAAGGGAAAGAAAGAGGAAAGCAATAGAGTAAGGTATCCAATTCTGACTTTTGGCCTCCAAATGCACATGAACACATGTGTGTGAATCCTCCCACACATGCACACATACAAATGACTAAGTATACATGTACACCACCACCCACACAAGTGATAAGCACCATTCTGTTATACACAGAAAAGGCAAATGTAAAGTGTTTAACTTTGAAATGAATTACTGTCTTTAACATTTGCAAAGGTAAGTTGCTGAATCTTGGGGGAAAGTGTTAAATGATTTTTTTCCCAGAGCTTCAAGCTGCAAGCAGTGTTTAAAACAACTACTTGAGCTGTTTTCTAAAGAACGTTCTCCTTTAATGTATCCTTCTGTCATGGAAGTGATTCATCAGAACAGCATGTCAGTCGGTGCCGGACTGTTTCAGGGTATACAGTCCAAGGTCGGGGATGGGGGTGATGATGAGGCAGTTCTTAGAATTGGGAAACATTAGTTTAAAACTATCTCTGAGGTTTGGAAGTATCTCCATGATCCTTAGTATCCCCATCTGCAAAATGGGGATTGTGATGGTAAAACCTACCTTATACGAACATGAATACAAAGCCCTTTGAATAGGGCACCACAAATGGCCCTTAGTATGTGGTAGCAGTGCATAGAAGAGGGATTATGCCAGCAACTGACCTTTCCAGCTGCTGTATGTCTGCATTCTTACAAGAATTTAAGGGACAATAAGATTCAGACTAGATGTTCCACCAGTTCACACAGTTGTCACTTTTGGTGGGAGAACTCAAGAGAACTTTATATATATAAGGACTGGCAAATAGATGAATGCATCTGAGCCTCTGCTGTTATTATTTCCAGATCATATCTTGTCCTTATCCATTTCCCGTCACTGTAACAAAATACCTGGGGCAGTGTATTTTTTAAAGCCGATTTGACTCACCACACTAGTGAGTAGAAAGTCCCCATAGCATGTTGTAGTTATTAACCATACTGTGGTCCCCTCACTGTGTTGCAACATGCAGGCAGAACCTCCATGGAAACTGTTGTAAGTAAATGAGGACATAAGAAAAGTGAGCCAGGAAAGGTGAGCTTGCTTCCTAACAACCATTCCCGTAGGAGGCTGGTTAGCTCCACTGCCTCTGCCTTGCTACAGCTAGCAGATTTTCATTTGCACATGAAAGGGTGAATCTAGAATATCATCTTTGAACTTCCTGTGAGATGGAAACTAGGATCATTTACAAAGAACCTTATGCACATTGTCTTGTTTATCTCATAAAAGTGCTCTGTTTGCACGGGACACCTTGCACAGCCTTGGTGCAGGGGAAGGGGCTTAGACCTGCCTCAACTGAATGTGTCAGGCTCTGCCGACTCCCCATTGGAGGCCTTACCTTTTCAGAGGAGGGAATGGGGGGGGGGGGGGGGGGTCAAAGGGAAGGCTGGGGGCCGGCAGGAGGAGGAAAGAAAGGGGGATCTGTGATTGGTATGTAAAATGAATAAAAAATTTCTTAATTAAAAAAAAGTGCTGTTTGACAGTAGATGAGTTTACTAGTCACCAGTAAAATTCATACTCTTAGCTCTGTTCTTACTCCCAGATGGTCACCTAGCTACCTTTGGAAACTAATGAATATGATTTTCTAAGTGTGTTGAGAGGAGTGTGTAGCAACCCTGAGAGTTAAGTATTGTGGGTGTGTGTGGAAAAAGCCCTGAGACAAGGAGCTTGCCCAGTTTGTGTCAGTTAGTAAATATGGGAGAACAAGAACCCTTAGCCGTGTTTTCCTCATGCTGCCCTTCCTTTTCTCAAGTCTCCTTCTCGTCCTCACCTCAAGTATAGAACATGCTGTCTTAATTTAAGATTATTTATTTATATCACTGTAATGCCATCGCAACCACACAGCTCAATAAGGGAAAAGCCTACAACTTAGTCTCTGGTCCCTGGCACCCATAAAAGCACTTGGCATAGGGAAAATGCACTCAGCAAATATTCAGTGAGTAGGAGAAGAGATTTCCATATCATGTCTATTTCATTTTGCCAATACTGCATCTTTGAAACAATGTTTAGCTGTTTCCTCTGTACTTGGGTAGAAGATGAGTCCTTCGTATGCATGCATTATACTCAGATGTTAGTGTCTCTCTCGGAGGGGTTGTTATAGAACATAGAACTCAATGTGAGGAAGCTTTCATGATATTATTACTGAATAATGTTATTAATCCAAGTGTTCAGTACATGCACACAGGATATAAAGTTCTCTTAGAAGGGAGATGTGAGGGGTATATAAAATTACCCGGCATTATGCCCATCCCAAATGAACTTTCAGTGGAGAGATATAGTGAGTGGAAGCAAGGCAAAATAATGAAGCGTAGATACTCTCGAACAAATCAGAGAAAGCAGAAGATGAGGCCAGATGCATTTAGGTTTGACTCTCCACTGTAAGACATACTGGCTGTGCAGTCTTGGTTGGTTATAAAAGACTGCTTTTTTCTCCCCACCCTCTCTCATCTGCAGATAGGAGTATATATGGGAAAGAACTTGGCACAGTTCTCAGAGCACGACAGTCTGCCGTTCAGTCATCTGGCGAACAGTGACAGTACCGTTTGTGAGCAGATTCTTTTTCTCCCATAAACTGGGAATACAGTGGTGAGCAAAGGGTTGCTGCTGTGGGCCTTCCTGCGTGGAGCTTGTTGGCTGCTGGGAGGGAAAAGCAATAATCCAGTCATCACCCAAATAAATATGAAATCATGGCTGTATTCCTAAGTCTCGTGATCATGCGGCCCAAAGAATATGGCCTGGAGATACCTAAGAGAAGACCTCTTCAAAGAGGCGACATCTCAACAAAAATCTGGAAGACAAGCAAGAGTTAGGCAGGCAAAGGGTGTGGAGCAGGGTGAGATTTGCAAGTGAAAGCCCAGAGGTGCGAGGAGCTTGGTGGGCTGGAGGGACAGGAGAAATCCTAGTGTGACCTAAGAACAGAGAAGGCAGAGCCAGTGTGAGGAGATGAATAAGAAGGGTTTGAGGTACTTAACAAGAAGATAGGGCTCAGGAGGTGGCAGCACAAGCCTGAGGACCTGAGTTCAGATCCCTAGAACCCATGTAAAAGCCAGGCATGGGACAGCTGTGCACACCTGTAACCCTTGCACTAGGAAACAGAGATAGGTGTATCCTGTGGCTTTCCCCGCTAGCTGAATTGATGAACTCCAGGTTCAGTTGGAGATCCTGTCTCAAAAGCAAAAAGGTAGACAGAGGAGATACTTAACATCAGCCTCTGGTCTCCAGTGTGCATGCATGAGTATGCACATCTGTGAAGAGGTATACACATATGCATGTGCCATAAACAAAATAAAAAAAAGAAAGAAAGAAATGAATTGTGTGTAGACAGAGCAGAAAGCTTCAATTGTTCACTAAGAGGATAGCATGGAGTCCTGGCTGGCTGTGTGGCATGTGTCTGACGTGTTTGATATGGCATATGCCCAGATCCAAGAATAAAGATCACACCCAGAGGAAAAAAATCTCTCCTGTATTATGTGTCTCAAATAAGTTACCTGAATCTTGATTATTGGAAAACCAAATGAAAGAAAGAATAGAAAGAAAAATGAGAGTCAAAATATCGGTGTCTTATAAGTTAGCTTTCTTCTTTTGACTTATTTTCATTGCCTCCTTGCCCCTTCTAATGCATTTTCCTTTTATTATAGCTGAGTGTCACAAGAGTTAACTGACAAGCCATCACCTATGTTGCCCATGGAGCACAATTTCTTAACACTAATTTGGAGGTATCTCAAAATACTCTATTCACGTGGCTCATGGATGAGATATCATTGTTGTCCATGACCTCCACTTATGTAAATCACACTTGGCTTCATCTTTCATTACTAGGAGAATGGAGCCTGATGGTGAGTCTGCACGGTCCTCTGTGAGATTACATGCTGAGTACCTTCCCCAGAGCACTAATGACTGAAAAGTGGTCCTTGGTGATTTCTCCTCAGTGGCAAGATCTGCTCTCCTGTCTGATCTCTGTCTCTGAGGTTTATAGTGCAACTGTGGTTCACTATTGTATCTACTTATAACTACAATCAGAAAACGTCACCAGGTAGAGTTATCGTAGGAGGTGTGTGTGTGTGTGTGTGTGTGTGTGTGTGTGTGTGTACATGTTCATGAATATATAGAAACAAGAATTAGGAGGAAGCTGTCTATGCGCTTGGGTGTGCATGTGTGGATACATGCTGAGGCCACAGGACAACCTCAGCTGTCCTCTCTTAAGCTTGCCCACTTCAGTGTTTTAGATAGAACCTGCAACTCACCAGATTAGGAAGGTTGGTTGACCAGGGAGTCCTAGGGATCCACCTATCCCTGCCTCCCCAGTGCTGGGATTACAAATAACCACCAACCATGCCTGGCTTTTCAAAAACAAAACTCCTTAATCTTGGTGAATCAAACTCTAGACCTTGTGCTTACAAGTCAAGCACTTTGCTGCCTGGGTTATCACCCCATCCTCCTCCTCCTCCTCCTCAGTTATTTTTAAGCAATGTTCAGTTATCTTTCATACTGTGGGAGCCTTTTGCCACTCATCTGCTTTTCTCTCTTTGCCCCTTGGATCATAAGAAGGGTCCCACTAGATCTTAATGACATAATCTTCCATATTTCATTCTCAACATAATGTCACTCCAAAATGCTGGTTGTCTACACTCAAATGTCTGCTGGTGAGAGGAAATAGCAGTGTCTAGCATCAGGAATTAACTACATCTATGTGACAAAGTTTACTTGCTGCATAAGAATGAAGCCTCTGTGAGCTGGCCCAGCAGGGAGGGGCATGGAACAGAAGAAACCAGACTTCCATTCCCCACATTCTGTTGCCGGAGGGGAAACCCATTTCACTTCCGGAGTGCTCTTGCCTAGCTCTCTGCTAGCCTGGGAACCATGTCATCACAGGTGAAGTCCATGTTTCCTAACTCCTTCCTTTTTCACATCTAGTTAGCTGTAGTGCCTAAGAGATGCCTCTGGAGTTGTCATCCACAATTTCCCTTAAATGTGGTCCTTTTTTGACTCTCACCACCACCCTCATGCCAGGACTCCTTACATTTTCATTTAGCTTGTTACAGAGGCTTGTTAACCACTTCCCAAGGATTTTCATTTATCCCTCCTCCTTCCCTTCTACCTTGCACATGGCTGGTAGATTGATCCTTATTAGAGAAATAATTCCACGGTCTCCCCCATCAGAAATAAGTGAAAATGCCTTAGCAAAATCATCAAAGTGCTGTACACACTTCCCTGTCTGGATTTCCATTCCTCTCACGGCACAACCTAAATCCCATTCAAAAGAAGTAGTTCCTGGTCCACACACTTGCTCCAGGTGTCTGCTTTGGACTTTAACCAGTAGTGTTATTCAGTGGTGAGCAGCTGTCTCTTTTTAAAAGCCCCAATTTGTAGGCTATTAGGCCACTGATACGTCTGTGGACTAGATTTGGAAAGAAGCATTCACGATTAGCTCCAAATACCACTACTTTGCAAACATCTCCCCTTCTATGAGGAACACTGCTGCGCCCTCCTCTCCTCTGAATGCCCCAGAAGTATTGCTCAGTAAGTTATTTTCATTCCTTTCTATTATGCCTGTGCATTTGGAATGTATGGAACACCCAATTACTAGCTTGTGTTGCTGGTAATATTTATCAGCCCCAAATACTATGCTAACATGGGTGCTCTCTTTAGGTTTTTGAGACTTAAAAGACACAAAGCTGTATGTTTGCATTTTAGGGCCATCATGTTGGAACCTAACGCTGGTCACTTTCTTGGAGAAATGTTTTTCTGATTTTGTTTTAAAACCCTGTTGGTTGTTGTTATCTAAATTTAAATACAATTTTATGTAATATTAAATATTTCCTCAGTCAGGCATGGTAATGCAGGCTTGTAATCCAGGCACTTAGGAAGCTAAGGCAAGAAGATTACAGGTTCAAGGCCAGCCTGGGTTACAGAATGAGTTCAAGACAAGCTTAGGCAAATTATGTCTGAAAACATTAAAAAAAAAAAACTTAGAATACAGGTCAGTGGCAAAGCACTTATATATCATGTACAAGGTCTCATGCTCAATCCCCAGTACCAGAGAGCATATACATATATGTATACATATACACATATACATGTGTATATTCCTTCATTGTTATAACCATTTGAATTATTAGAATATCCCATAGTTTAATTTGTCCTTAAATCTCAAATCCCACAGAAAACTTGTAAGGTGCATAGTTATCCTATATTGTATCAGATAGATGATAATGCAGATTGTTTTGTTTGTTTTAAAGAAAATGTCTCACGTTTTTATTACTTAACTCATTTACTGGTGCAGAGTATAAACACAAAGAGAATGAATTTTTATAATTAAAACATGTCCAACTGTCCCGATTACAATGTGTTACTGTTTAAAAGAAAGGGAGCAAGGGAGGAAAAAGAGGGAGGGAGAAATGAAGGGAGAGAGGGAGGGAGGGAGGTCAGACATAGCATGAATGTGTGTGGTTTCATGCACAGTTTCTTGCAGGCTCTTCAAGATTCCTCTCCAATGTCTCTTCTTGGAGTTGTACCTGGTTTTATTACTGATTTCTGGTTTTACCCAAACCCACTGAGGAACAGTGATTTTACTGTGTTTCTTTTTCAGCAATAGCAAGATCCTCAGACTCTTATGAGATGACATGGTTGGTTCAGAAGAAGAGGGTCAAGTGCATGTTGAGAATAACAGAATAAGGGGGATAGGATAGTCTGTATTAGTCAGAATGGTGTCTTATTAAGAAAGTACCCTTTTATTTAAGAGATAAGTTTAGTTTTGCATCATTATGAAAATGACTTTTATTTTTATAGTTCAAAATTTTAACTGTAATTTCTATTAGAAAACTAGGGGCTAAGCATGTAATAAAGATGATCTTCTAATAACATTGGGTTACTTTATAGTTTAATGGTTATAAATTATACTGTGGATATTCAAGGATGATTATTCTTTTTACTTGCAACTTAATAAAACTCACGAATTGAGGAGAATGCATGGAAAGCATGATTTATAATGCCTGTGGGCATGTTAATGCTTTCAGCTGTTCCCTTGCACCCTCTGATTAGACAAGACCTAAGCTGCATAATGAAGGAGCAGCCACTAAAGTGCTCTGGTGGGTTTATGGTGCCCGGGTCATCCATGCGATTAGCATTTTTGAGTACTGGACCATTAGTTTCAAATGCATATAAAGATAGGGGACACATCTGTATCAAGGAGATGCTATAATAAGAAATTATTTCAAATTCATGAAAGCAGTTTTCATCTAATTGTAATTGCCAAAAACAATTTAAAAACCTGATTAACAGAAATTCTAATTAACTAAATAACCCTTCCACACACATATACACCTAAGTCTACTTTTAGGAGAAAAAGGGAAATTTGTAAGAAAATAAGTTAATTACAAGGGTTCTAGATTAAAAAAATATTCAATATCAATTCATCATCAGTGTTTTGAAGAAAATTATGTTAAAAATAAACTTATAAAAGGGAAACAATAAAAACTCAAGGTTTGAAACTACAAGCTTTTTAGGAAACCTTGAGCTAACCAGAAATTGAAATTTGTAAATTTCCCAAGCCTATCATTTTTCTAGATTTTATGCTACACGTTAGT